TTTCCTTTTCCTCATGAGACTGGTGAGGCCCCGCTTCCCCTGCCTCCAATGACTGCACGTCCCTGACTCAAGATGGCAAACATACTCAATGCACCTTTCTCCTCCTATTTTCCTCACAACAACAACTCTGTGAGGTAGGTTGATCTGAGAGTGACTGACAAAATCACCCAGCTAGTTTTCATGAGTAAGACAGGGCGTGAACACATGGTCTCCCCCTTTCTATCCTGAGGCCTTAACCACTAGACCAAATTGGTTCTAGATTGCTCAATAAGGGCATTTCCTTTCCCATGCCAGATCAAATATTTAAAGAAGTTTCAAAGGTTTTTTTTTAACGAGGCAAATATGTTTGAATAAAATGATACCAAACAGAAAAATGAGGTCAGTGTGGTTGGCATTCAAGCTAATTGGTGAATTCTCTTCCAATGCTTTGGATCCTTTGTCCTAATTCTCAATGCCTTTTACAGGTTCTTTATCACAGCTAGCCTGTCCTAACAAGTGGGATTAAAGAAAGGGTAGCTTTTGCACCACCACAAGCTAATTATCTGTTGGTGTTACAGCACCCTATGACTCAGTCAGCCAATCTGCCTTCCTTTATAATAGAATAAAAAAACAGAGACTTGAAAATGCCATTGAATAGTGCAGATAAATGCTTCTCTGAAAATGTCTCTCTCATTCTTCCTCTAGTAACATGCTTTACAAGCAGAGTTTTGCTTTCAGATAGTCCGGATCAGTTTTCCAGGCAGGTGGCATGCAGACATGGCCAGACCAAATAGTGGAAGGCTGTTTGAGTCCCAACCCTTAGTTCTTCCTCCCACATTTCCATTGTGTTGGTTGGAAATTAGAATCTAAACGGGGGGGGGGGGAGATGCTGTAGACAATTGTTTTAGCTTCAGCAGAAAATGACCTTGATCATGACTATTGATCAGCCTTAACATAGGGTGAAACTATGGTCTTCCAGTACTAGAGAGACAATTTAGTGGTTTTAAGGAACAGGGTAGAAACTACAAAACTGTGAGTTCTAGTCCCGCTTTAGGCATGGAAGCAGGGTAGGTGACTTTGGGCCAATCACACTCTCTCAGCCTACATCAGACTCCGGAGACACTACAGCCAATCAATTTCTGTTGCAACCAATGGATCAACACTGGGTTGTTGGTCCTGCATTTGCAGGAAAATACTAGGAAGAAGGAGAAAAAATCCCACTGGTGTCTTCCAATGTTCACAGATTAAAAAATATAATTACAAACTGTTGCTTTGCAAATTTCAGAGCTTCAGAATGTAAGAGCTGCTTTGCTGTTTCAGATGAAAGGATCTGTGTTGATTCTCTTCCTTTTCCTTACATAAACATGGAAGTTCACAAACAGGACATATGAGAGATTAGCCTTGCCTTTTCTTTGTATGAGAGTATGACAATAAGATGTAATTGGTTTTTTAAAAACAATTTTTATTTGTTTTTGA